CCTAGGAGCCCACAATGGTGTGTCCCTGCCAGGCTGGGCTGTGGGAAGTCTCCGTCCTCCTCCACTCTCTCTGCTTTCCTTGTTCCTGTCACCCTCATATCTGTGGCCACCAGAGGAGAAGTAAACAGACGGACACAGACTCCACCAAAGGACAGAACTTCTGTCCCTCGTAGGACGGCGACTGAATGTTAAGCACACCTGCACACTCCACAATCACCTGTGGCCAGGAGAGGGGTTCCCAGGAGGGGCCTTCTACAGCAGGGGGGGTGGGCAGAGCCAGAGAGGCGCCTGGGTCAGAGGGCCTGGGTGCAGGGCCGAGGTCACGTGGCTTTCATTGTTCCATCTCCCGTGTTTTTATCAGTGAGCTATCACGCAGTGGCCCTCTAGATGCATGTTTTTAAGGAGTGTTCACCATTTGCTTTGGGAACATCAGTGCAGCTCAAGATCAAAAAGAGCCTACAGTTGATGACCAAAAGAAGCAGAGGAAACATTTCTGTCTTTACATCAACTTCTCTTTGCAACTTAAAACTCTGGAGGTTAGGACTAGCACTTAGCGTAATGGCTATGTCGCTGGACTCCCATGTAGTCAACCAGGGTTCGAGTCCTGGACCTGGTGGCTTAAACTCACACCGAGAGCATGCGCGTGCATGCCCAAGATCCTGAGAGGAGAATGGAGAAGGGATTGCGGCGTGTCCATCCCTCTGGGGGGTGATTTCTCGCTTTCTGTTTCTCTGTCTCTGTCTTTCTGGCGAGTGCATGCACCCTATAGCAAAAACCTCTCAAAAAAAAAAAAATTCTGGAGGTTATTGATAAACCTAGGTTTGGCTGTTCATTACATTTAGTAAGAAACTCATTAAAATATTAAAGTGGAAACTTTTACCACCCAAATTTAAGAAGCTTCCCTTGATTTCTTTTCCTTGGAATCCAGTCTCGGCTTTAACAGGGCTCTCCCACACCCCTGCTGTGTGACTTTGGGCAGATACTCAACCTGCCTGAGCTTTGATTTTCCCCGCTTTCCTGTGGGAGAAGACCATACTTATCTCAGAATATTTCTGTAAAGGCTTAACAACATGTGGAGGGGCTAGCAGGTGTCATAGTGGTTGAGGCACTGGATTCTCACATGGCTGGCCACGGTTCGAGTCTTGGACCTGGTGGCTTTCTCTCTCTCTCTGTCTCTCTCTGGTGAGCACATGTACTGTACAGCAAATTTTAAAATAATAAATCAAATTAAATAGATAACTCTTTAAAAAAAAAAAAAACCACCAAAAAGCCAACACGTGGAAAGGTATCCGACAGCCCGGAACGGTGAACCTGACACACAGCCGTTCAAGCAGTGTAGCTGTTCCCGTCATCACAGAAAGCGCCGAGTCTGCCTGGCAGTTCCCACCCAGCCCATCTCCTGCGCCGTGATTTAGCTCAAGAGCAATAGCATCCATTTACCTGAGAGGCACTGTGCTCAGAGATCTACCCGAGCTGGCCCAGAGACTAGAAACGGCTACCAAAATATGCTCGCAGCCCCCGGGGAACAGTCAGGAAGCCACGAATACCACCTCGTATGCTCCTAAGCCAGTCGGAGCTCTCCCGGTGCGGAGGGAGGGAATGTGTAAGACAAAAGGCCGATTTCATTGATTCCAGATTGATTTGGAAGATAAGCCCAATGGGATTTACCGGTGAATTAAGTTTATCAATGGGTACAACCGGATACAAGTATGTTTAGAAAATCCAAACTCTTCGCAGGCCGGACGGAGTGGCCTACAGACATGAGGGGGTAGAACGTCCTCCCTGGCCATCCTCTGCTGCGGACGTGCTGCCATCAGACCATATTCTACAGTTAAGAGTTTACAAATTCCGTGTGCGTGTGTGTGCATGTGCGTGTGTAAGAAAGAGAGGTGAGGACAGCTGCCCAGCTGATCTAGTTAACGGGCTCACAGTCAGGTCCACTTCATCACTCTGGGAGCCTTATGATGGCATGACCCCAGAAGCCGGCACCTCCAGCCAACTGGGCGACCCCTGTGCAGAGACCATGCCGCTAGGAAGAACTGCTTCAAAGACGCACTGCGACCCAGTGCGCTCCCACCCTGAGATCTGGGGCGTTCACCTCAGTTCTCTCAGCTCCGTGGCCTCTGTGGCAAAAAGTGATCAGACGCGGCCTTTCTAGTTAAGAATTTTCTCCACGTGGCCACCTGCCAAGCACAGAGATGGAAATGCTGAGGGCTGGGACTGCGCTCCGGGACGGTAGGAACTGGCAGGTCACCCTGTTTAGTCACACTTCTGGGCTGCCCCCACCTCCTCTAACGACTCCGCAGGGACCAGCAGGAGCAGCTGGGGACGAGCAGGTGAGCAGGTCGGCAGGACGGCCCCCGTCAACACCTGTTTGCAAATTCCCTCTCCCTGGCTTTCCAACACAGGCCACTCCTTGAGGGTCTGCAGGCATGGCCACCCACTAGCCATGGTGCCCAAGACCATTCCATTCTACAACATACATAAAATGAAGTGTCTTAATTGGGACACTGGAAACAGGTGAGACGTTAACGATAAGCAGACAAAAACACACTTTGCCCTTGGATTTTTTTCTCCCTCAGTGGTGAGCTGGACACACTCCAGCCAATGTTTCCATGGGATCGGGACCAGCCAGGTGGTCCTGCCTAGTCACCAGGAGGGCGAGCACATCAGCCCTGTGCGGATGTGTGACAGGCAGGCTCATTGGCAGGGACCTTCGAGCTAAACTGATCCCTCCGTGCAAGGAATCTATCCCGCAGCTCCTTTGCACTGGGCCCTGTGCAGATGCTGGAAACAGAGACGCCCACGGGCGGGAGGTGCTCACAGCCTGGCGGGGAGAGAAAGCAGATCACCATAGCACGTTCTGCTGCGTCTGCCGCTACACCCGGCAAAGGGGCTGTGAGCAGACCTGCTCTCCCGCCCGGAAGTGAGTCCAGGGAAGACGATGGGACCAGGGCGTGTTTCAGAAACCCGAGTCCCTGCTTACCGTAAACGCAGGACGAGCGCAGAACGACCCC